TGTAAGAGCCGACTAAGGGAGAAGACTACGCAAGACAAAAGCACTGCAAAGAGAAGATAAACTTGAAACAACGCTATACCAAGCCGTCTCTCCAACGGGGTATAGTAGACCAAAATCGTCTTTCTAACAGTAGACTACTAAAGGTTGTTGATGATTATTATATGGAAGTAGTCCAGTATTAGTTACTTTCTCCTATTGAAAGGACAGCTGACAACAATTGGCTGAGTTTTAATTACATTATGTAAATTATTGTGTTACATACGAGTACATACACTGTTACGCAAAACCTTCTAAAAATATTTTTTATTAAAATAACGTGTTATCTCTTTGTTACAGGTAAGTCACTGAATTCTGCAAGTCGTGCTGCCTTAGATTGTACAGTGAGTGAACCAGAATGTCAAGTTTGAAATTTAATCACAATTTTTTCTCAAAGCTATTATGTTGTATATAACCTTCGTATCTTAAATATACCACGTAACGTTGTTTTGTTACATAACAAGCAAATTCCATACAATTAAAACAAACTTATTTATTTCTAAATTCATACTTATTATAAATAAAAATACACCCAAACACAGAACAAAATGATCATGCTATCACACAATTATTTGTCTGGGTGGGAATCGAACCCACGACCTCTAGTTTAAAAGTGAGGGTCACTAACCATTAGCCCAACAGGCAAGTTAAATTACCTAATACATTATCCAAACGGCCACTAAATAGTTAATTTAAGCTAATTTACTGCAGTTCCCTACACCGTGGTCGGGTGTCAGGTGAGCAATCGTAAATCATCTCTTAGTCGTCCCGTCGCTGCGTCCGTAAGATTTCATAGTTGTCGGGTAGACAATAAATTGTGACAAATAGCCAGATCATTGAGTCATGAATTTTATACGGGGGGGTCGTCTACTTGTTGTAGATGGCCCGAGGTATGTCGGGGCACCAGGGACTTCTTTTCTAGGGTATACCTGGTTCCCCGGCTATTAGTACCCGAGACGGCGTGCGGTTTTAGTCGGTTCGAGTCCGACATGCCACCAATAGGTGGTATACGAGCACGGAAAAAAAAAAGGTGGAGTGTGTGGAATAATAATAAAGTTAGTATGTGTTAATCTTTAAGTACACGGATGACTTAGTGGTTTACGCTGTCACCTCGCCGTTTCCTTCAGCGCTGAGTGTTCGTTCGATCCCTACGTGGGAAAACACTTTGTGTGACCCACAAATTTTTGTTTTAAGTTTGGGTGTTCTTTGTGGCCGTTTCGTGTATGTTTAGGAGTATGGAGTACCTAGTCTTTTAAAACAAGACAAAATAAAAAATCTATAAAAGTTACTTCTTTTAAACAAGAAGGCACCAAGAAAAAACAGAAAATATTGGTTTCACAATATTTGTCTTTTCTTTATCCGTATAGTGCCTTTTTGACCAATTTTGAGTTTATCATTATCAACACCATTTCAGCCATTAGACGTCCACTATTAGATATAAGCCTTGATGAAGGCATACTTCCAAGATAATCCGCTACAAGCAAATTGCGATTTGAAACAGGGACTTACGTTTATAGATGCTAAATTGCTCGCACATGGGAGGGGTCCCATCGCACTATTAACGGGAACCAATTCCTAATATTCAGCTCAGCACCCAGCTAAACTGAAGGGAATAACATGCATATTAGAAAGATATAAACCAATTTAGTAGTTCTTTTTCAAATAAAAACTAAACAGGATCAACAGAATGAAATATTTATTTTATTGTACATAAATTGTATTTTCGCAACATATTCATACTTTGTAGTAGTAATACCTTTGGAATCTTTTAGAAGATGGGGTTATTTACGACACGCAATAAAATCATCCCATCATAAACACCAGATGGACGATGATGTTAGTGGCACACGTGAGCACCGAAGGGTTATCACGGTTATGGTTTCTATAAAATTAATAGCGACGCTCTTAACTACCTAATAAATAAACTTATTATTGAAAAAATATAGTATTTTTAATAATATAATAAACATATATATATATTTTTTTTGTTAAAGGCATTAGGAATATACGAGTATCCCGCATCGCGGGGGATTTCACAAACATACATGAAACGGGCACAAAGAACACCCAGACTCAGAATAACAATTTGTGGATCATACAAAGTGTCGTCACATGTGGGGATCAGACCCACAACACTCAGCGTAGTAGTAAGCGGCGAGGTGACCGCTTAAACCACTACGCCATCAGTGCAGTTTATTAATAATAATCTAGGTGGTGCAAGAAAATGAATCCACTAAAATCCTTTTGGAAATGCCCCTACAGACAGTCCTGACCTTATACATATCGACAAAACTAGCAATAAAACATATTTAATAGCTATCACCGTGCCAATGCCGTGCCGTAATTACAGTATAGGCGCTAAGGAGATTCAGAAATTGAGCAAATACCACCTGTTGAAAACTGTGAAATACACAAACGACTGTCATTCCGATAGTTATAGGCGCAACTGGAATAGTCGCTAAAAGCATAAAGAAATATATTGATAAGTTAGAAGCCCACATCGTCATAGCCAACCTTCTAAAACAAGCAGCCATACACACAGACCACACTCAGTAAAATCTTGGGAGATACGGTATTCATACACAACACAAGGACCAACACTCACAAAATACCCAGGAATCGCAAAATATGCATCAGTCAGTGGACCCACAACCACAGGATTTGCAACAATCGCCAAATATAACGCAATCACCAGACATACCAGACCCACTCAACATAACTCATACACTGGACACAACAGAGTCAACAGACATTAAGCATACGAGGGGTAAGAGGACGAGGACGAGGAAGGAGAAGGGCTGCGAATAACACGCACCACACGACAGACACACACCAGTTAAGTACCTCTCATACAATGAAACTACACATTAAAAATTAAATTATAAAAGATTTATTCAAACACACAATTCATATCTAACTTTGTCAATTTAGAAGTTGTGGGGACATAGATATCCTAATTCCCGTGGGTTATGGGACAGGGTATTTTTTAAACCGACCAAAGTCGAGATGTTGAAACCAACACATTTATAATAATATTGGTGGTGCAGTGGTAAGCGTATGCGACTAATGTTCTGAGGTCTTAAGTTCGATGCCCGGTTCTGACTGAATGTTTGTATGATCTGCAAATATTTGTTTCGGAGTTTAGGTGTTTTCTATATATGATTTATATGTATCACAAAATAAAATTATTCTATACGTAACGTACGTAACTACGCAGGACAACAGCACTGCAAAGAGAATAAAATCTTGAAACAAACCCTATACCAACCCGTCTGGCCAGCGTGGTATAGTAGGCCAAACCCTCCTTTCTAAGGAGAGGCCTATGTCCAGTAGTGGACTATTATAGACTGTTGATGATGATGATGAAGTATTCTATCAGTCAATCTAGCTTTCATACTACAAGCTCTGCTTAGGTGGAAACTAGGCGCTAGGCGCTGTGTCTCCTAAGTCCGAACATATTTATAAGTTATAAATATGTATGTTCAGTTTTATAAATTATAAGACTCCAAATTGTATCATTTATATATTTAGTGCCCGGTTAACAATAGTATGCCCTCTATTATTTGGGTAGGACTAAAGTTGTAGTTGACAAAATATCAGCGTATAATATACCTGTGCCTACCCTTTGAACATAAATACGAATCAATGTTAAAGTTGCTAAGCAACTATGAGTCTTCACTCAACTGCATAGCTATAATTAAATATTAGACTTTATTGATAATATAAGCTGTTTTAAGTGCACTTTTAAATTAGTCCTAATTTAAAGCAACCAAATTATAAATAATATAACTCTCAGGCTGGCCTTGCTTACGAAGTAAAGACACTAAATCTGTCCGGGTGATACACGATTATAGCCTTTATCAACTTCGGTGTAAAGAACTCGGTTAATATCAATAAATTTTACTTGCGTATAATAAAATTACGAGTTAAATAGAACTACATATATACTTATATATTAGTTGTAAATTATTACAGGGATTTAGTTTACCTGATATAACAGGTATTCTGAAAGTAATAGAGATAAAATAAAATTGAATATGTATTTACCGTTGCTGTTCACCGTTTTTCAAATATTTTTTATAGACACTGTCAGGTAAATAGAAATGGACACACAGTCAGTGCCTTTCAAACAGAAAAATATACGGTCCACGAGACAGAAATAAATTCTTTCACACAAGCCAAGCAAGCACATAATAAATAAAAACCTAAATGAAGTGTTACTTATTATTGTATGATGTATGGACTGTCACTTTTAGTGAACCTGATATCCTTTTCCTTTTATTTTGGACGAATTAAAAGGAATTTCAATAACAGTAATGTAATCGATACTTAATTTTAACCTTGTAAATAGTGACTGTGAATATCAAACAAATGATTAGGTCAGATTTTGAAAGCTTAAACATTAAAAATATCAAAATTAGATGTAAGGTACACGCAAAAGTTAGCAATTGTGACTCTTAACCAATAGTCGCGCTGTATGACCATTGGCCTCGGGAAAAATGATCCTAATTGTTGACATCGCGTGCGTGATCAAAGTGTTCCCTCTGTACTGTTATTAAATATTTCTATTTGATCAGAACATCATTCATTTGATCAAAGTGTGAACTAAAAAGAACAAATAATAGAATCAATCACCATCATCAATAGCCTTAACTAGTCCACTGCTGGACATAGGCCTCTCCTTAGCAAGGAGGTTAAATAATAAAATAATAGAAATAATAGAATACATAATAATATCCAAGTGAGATGTAAACAAGTGTTGCAAATTCAGAGTTGCTCTGTTGGATGAATGCCTTCTAAGTGGAAGTTACCATATTTAGTTAATTATTTCCGCTGATGAAACCCTATGCCGCTAATATTGCCTGTTAAGGTAAAATTTAAAAGAGAAAAGAAGATAAACAACGTTTTATAAAATACCAGATTTACTATCAAATGAGCTTACAACTAGCGTTTATAAACTACACTTAAGCCATACACGCAGCACCGTCTATTAATAATTCAGAACCGTTTAAATTGGGAAATACATTGCTTGCAGTCAGACAAATCAACATGGCCACTTCTTGTGGCTCCAAGACTGTACCGCTAGGCATATCCTGCGCCAGATATTCATACGTGTGCTCTTTCATGTCTTCTGTAATGTTGACATTCTGTAATATATTCGTTCTTGTAGGCCCTGGACTTATTGTATTAATCCTGACACCTTCGCACTCCAGTTCCGGTGCTGCATGCTTCGTAAACACTTCTAGTGCGGCCTTGGATATGACGTACGGCAAAAGACCAGGCTTATACCGCTTAGACATTGAAGATCCTATATTGACAATATTCCCTTTAGTTTTAATCAAATGTGGTAGAGCCAACTGTGAAAGATGATATGGTACTCTACAGTTTATGTTCATGACGTCATCGTACATTTCCATGGACTCGTCGAAAAGTGATGACATTATTAATTTGCCCGCACAGTTCACTAGAATGTCAATCCTGCCAAACATTTCTACAGTTTTATTCACTACTGTCTCACATTTACCTGGATGGGTTAAATCTAATGGAAGCCATAAAGGAACCGAGTTGTTTTTTCTTGCACATTCGTTAGCGGTTTTCAAGAGTTTTGGTTCGTTTCTTCCAACGAGCGTTAGTGTTGCTCCAAATCCGGCAAATAATACTGCTGTTGCAGCACCTATGCCAGAACTTGCTCCTGTTATAATTGCGACTTTGCCGTTGAAGTCAATTTTATCCATTTCCTGTCGGCTAGGGATCGGTCAATGCTATTGCCGAATTTGGTTATTTGTTGGTAAAAAATTTGCACGTTAATAATAAGGTGTGCGATGCAGTGAAAACCGGCCGTTAAAAATCTAATGAATTGAGTCCCAATCGCAATTATTTTAATGTTATTTTATCACTGTTTATTCTTTATAAAACTCCGCATCGCACAAAAGTCGTATCAGGACTGATTAGTATCACAATTGATATCGTTTGTTATCAATGGCATTTGTTATCTTTCTTTTATTTTTGTTTACACACGAGTAAAATCAGTTTAATTTCATTTCTAAGTGAGTCTTTATACAGTTAATAAACCTGAAGACCAATTACAGCTGTACATGACGTGTACTAGTTCATTACGAGTGCTTTGTTGATTACTCATTAATTATCATCAACAGCCTATACTAGTCCACTGCTGGACATAGGCCTCTCCTTAGAAAGGAGGTTTTGGCCTACTATACCACGCTGGCCAGACGGGTTGGTATAGGGTTTGTTTCAAGTTTTCCTTGACCTTTCTGTGACCTTGATTTATATTTACGTTAGATAATGGCTTGTATTTTGGAATTTATTATAACAGAATGACAATACCTTACAAAATTATAATATATATACATATTATTTCGTAGAAGTTATTAAATTTATAATATTTTTTCACACATTTCGCACACTGCCGTCTGATCCCAAACGAGGCAGAGCTGGTACTATGGTAACCAGACTGCTGTTAAACATACTTATATATTTTTAAATACATACATATTATGGATACATTACACCCAGACACAGAACAAATGACCGTTCTCATCACACAATAATTAGTCCTGAGTGGGAGTCGCATCCACGACCTCTGACGTAGCGATTTAGAATTGCTTTCACAATATTTCCTACTCATGATAAGCTGAGCTCTAAAACAACCTGCATTCTAAAATAAAACCTGTGTTTAAAACATCAATTTCTCGTTACGTAAGAGCCAAAGAATTCATGCCGTATCCAGGAGGCCGCGACCATGATTTCGGTACAATACACAGGTTTTTCATCAGTACTCATATACATTTATGTACTCGTACGTAGGCACAACTACCCACTTTTTTTGTGGAAAATAAGGTAACTTTTGAAATGATGATGCCTTGGTTTTTGATTCAAAGTTCAGTCTTCTTTTTCAAGGCTTAAGTTAGTTCTGTTTGGATCATATGTTAATGTGATGTAAATAAAACACGTCAATATTATTTCATAAGATTTTAAATAAACATTAGATCTTATTAGACTGTTGCTTGAGGTATGCGTAATATGTAAACTTCCCTTTCTTCCGTAAATGTTTGAAGACTGATTACATTATCTTTAGTTTCTTTCCATTGTTGAGAGTTGTGTAGTGAAAATTACATGGAGTGTTCCCTCAGAAATGGTTTTATATTTATAGAAAACTGTTAATACTTCGGCCAATTACCACACTGACGAATTGCTTAACAAAACTCTTGTTGCATCCGATTGCTTATTTATCAATGACGGTTATATGTATTTATATCTCAGCTGATATTTAATAAATATATATATATATGCATATGTTGTAATTAGTTTTAATATATTTGATTACATCCATTTTTTACCTTAATATAAAATGTGTTTGTTCTACATCCTTAGATAATTTAAGATTAATTTCAATTTACATATCAATCTATTGGTCTAGACTGTGTATACTTATGGCATATAGGACCTGTGGCCTACTATGGCCTGACGGGCTGGCCAGACGGGTATAGGGTTTGTTTCAAGTTTTTTTTCTCTTTGCAATGCTGTGTCCTGCAGAGTTTGCTCTCTTAGTCGGTTCTTACGACACCCACGGGATGAATAGGGGTGGTGACACTCCGTGTCCGTGAAAGTGTAACTATACAAAGATTTAAACTTGATAGGCAGTTAGCAATTTTGGATCATTAAACATTAATGATCTAAAATTGCTGTTGACGATATAACTGCATTCAATTTTGTTCTAGTCATTGTATTCGATTGTCCTTGTCTGTCGACGGATGTCATAAACGATAATTGTAAATATTTTGTTTCTTTACATTCTTTACTTATTACTGTTCATTTTAAAGGGGCTAATAAGTATAATATATGTAATTTTATTAAAAACAAACAAACAAACTCACTCACTTGGACGTCTAAACCGAAAGTTCCAGCCATCGTCAAAATTAAAATGTCAACAGACTTCAGCATTATTAAACACGTAGGTATTTTAGCTCCGTCGCCCTTAACAACTCTAACTGGTTTTCTTAAAATGAACATTTTTATTACACGCCGGCAATTTAATTTTATAACACAACCAGGATCAGAAGTCGACTCAATATTGTTGTACCCCAAATTTATTAAACTCACTTTTACATCATAATTGTGCTGTACTGTGTATTTTATTGGTTATTAGTTTTTATCTTCTCATCTACTTCAGTAATACTCATATTTTACAAAAAATATAAAATCACATAAGTTCTTTACATTCAAATTTGAACTTACTTGTTAATAATCACAACTTTAAATATGACACTATGAATTAATTACAGACGGTTGTGTAGTTAGCTGTTTACACATCGACAGGAGCTCAGGATGAAGCCCCATGTCGCAACAGTATGACGTCTGACTTGACCACGACAGGTGGCCTTAAATTCTGGACCTTATTTTTAACGTTAAGACAATATAGATTTAATAACAATGAATATTATTAATCGAAGTTATAGTTCCACATGGCACTCATACACTTTCACATTAATACGAAGACGCAGCACCGTCCACAATCAAACTCGCACCATTTAAATTAGGGCAACTGTCACTTGCAGCAAAAACAATCATTTTGGCAATTTCCTCAGGTTCTATGATAACATTATTGGGCACAGCCATCGCTATTTTGTCATATGCTTGATCCATAAACTCTTCTTCTACATTTAAGTTTGCTAATAAATTTGTTCTTGTTATTCCTGGACGTACAGCATTCATCCTTATACCATCACTCACTAGTTCCAACGCCCCCGCTTTGGTAAACCTGTCCAAAGCATCTCTAATCATTGCAAACGGTAGAAATCCAGGCCTAACTCTCACGGGAGCCGCGACAACGTTGACAATGTTACCTTTAACCCTCTTCAAATGCGGTATACAGGACTGAGTTAGTTTATACGGTACTCTGAGATTCAAAGCAACTAGTTCATCGAATATCTCCATGTTCGTATCAAAGAGTGATGTGACAGCGGCTTTACCAGCACAGTTGATCAAGACATCAATCCGTTTGAATGTCTCTACTGTTTTTCTGACAACTTCATCACAGTTTCCGTCTATAGTCAAATCAAGTAGAAGACACAGAGGTTTCTTTGAACTGGCTTCCTCGCAATGCTTCGCCACATCCAGCAGTCTTTGTTCATTCCGTCCGACGAGTGCGAGTGTTGCTCCGTGTGTGGATAACAGCTTGGCCGTGGCCGCTCCGATGCCGGAACTCGCGCCGGTGACGATAGCGGTTTTCCCGGTAAAATCCATGTGTACACACCCGTTGGCTGCGAGAAACGACATGCGACTGTCGACTTTAGCTGATCGTGTAAACTGTGTTAGCGAAACAGGTTTCTCACTTAAATATACATTATGGTTTCTAAAGTTTTTTCTTTCAAGTAATGTTATTATTACTTGAGCTATAACACGTTTGACTATATGATTGCTGATTATTTTTTTGGTACTAGAAAATTAAATTTGCCATTAGATTATCAATTCAGTAGGTAATTGTACTCGACGTCAAACTTGTATCTAAACGTCTAGTATATGTATATTTATATTATATATAAAGTAATGTATGTTTTGCTTACTATCTCTGTGCCTCTTCTGTTATCAGAAATACAAAAGCCGGTATGTGCTTAGGGCGTGATTCATTTATAAATAAACATTTAAATTCATGATAAGAATATGTTCAATAAAGGTATAAATTTTGTTGTTTTTTTAGCTCGTTATTTTTAACTCGCGAACAATAACGAGTAAAAAATAAACTATTCTTGTTGACTTGTCTGAGTTGAGAGAGAATGAGTTCTCTTTTAGAATCTGTTGTTGTCATTGTAATTAATGTAAGTTATTTATCACACAAAAGTAAAACTCTACTTTCGTAAGTATACTACTGTCATACGTCACTAATGCAAACCGTGTTGGTAGGTCTTTATGCTACAAATCGTAAAACTTAATTTTCTAAAGTAAATTATATTTATATTTTGTTGTTGTACTTATAATATACTAAATACTACAATATTTAAGAATACTGAGTGAGTGAGTGAGTGAGTGAGTGAGTGCAGTAAGATACCTATTCATCCCGTGGGTGTCGTAAAAACCGACTAAGCGTTAAAACTCAGCAAGGACATCAATGCAAAGAGATGGAAAACTTGAACAAACCCTACACCAAGCCGTCTGGGCAGTGTGGCATGATAGACCAAAACCCCCTTTCTAAGGAGAGGCCTATGTCCAGCAGTGGACTATTTGAGGCTGTTCATGTAAAAATATAGAATGTAAAGTCATAATATTTTTACCTATGAAAGTTTGAGAACCGCAAGCTATTTAATAATCCTTCACCTTCACCCTAACCTGAGTAAATTAATAACGTGTTTTGGTGTTAACGCTTCTCGTGAATAATAACTCGGTTCCTATATTTGTAAAAGGTGGGTATAGTTTTTTACTTCTAAGGCGGCGAATAAACTCACGATTAGTGTTACATGTATGACTGCACGAAGGGTCGGTCGATGGGACACATGGGTCGACACTTATCCACAAATTGTTGTTCTGAGTGTGGTTGTTCTTTGTGTCCGTTTCATGTATGTTTGGAAAGTCCCTCGCGAGACAGGACATATTCCTAATGCGGGAGTTGTACTTTTTTACAATAAAAATAAACATCTGTAATGTGTATTTGTGACCAAATGAGTTTTTATTATGTTAGCACCGGGTCAAAACCATGTAGTGCTGCCATCTACACGCAAAGTAACTATTATGTTGTAAGAGTTATAGTAAAGAGTAGTGATTTTTGTCCCAAAATAAGGTGAGAAAACGACGCTTAGATAATTGTACAATTACACATTATATTCAATACAAATACACATATAGTATACGAAATATTAGCGAAGGGTTTTAATGCAAATGCAATTAGATTTTTAGGTCTTATTTGACGTACACGATAATTGATCATCAATCATCATCAACAGCCTTTAGTAGTCCACTGCTGGACATAGGCCTCTCCTTAGAAAGGAGGTTTTGGCCTACTATACCACACTGGCCAGACGGGTTTGTATAGGGTTTGTGTCAAGTTTCCTTCTCTTTGCAGTGCTGTGTCTTGTGTAGTTTGCTCCCTTAGTCTCTTACGACACCCACGGCATAAGTACGGGTGTTGGCACGGACGATAATTGATATGTATCACTAATATAAAAATACATTAATTATTTAACGCATATTTTTCCTCTATAGTCTATTTTTGTAGCTTTATTTCTGTACATAAGGAAATAACATTACATTATTAATTATTTCAATGACGTGTATGTGATTGCGTCATGATTACAGTTCAGTACCTACCAAAACACAGGTCTGTTGGCCTACCATGAACTCTTAATTTTAGCCGAGAATTGAACGGTTGTTTATTTTGTACCATAAACGCGGTGTTTAGAAGGCGAGTCAGCGATCCCCGGTCAGTGGTCACGTAATTAACATTTCACCGGCTTGGCGTTACCATGAAGTGATTTTTAACAGTTAAAGATCCGAGCACTGACCTGCCTTGCAGTTATATTTCGCAGGCGTATAATACTAACCTTTATTGAACTGCTTTGTGTAATTTTAAATTAAAAACTAAAAATAATAATAAATACCTTCATCATAGCCTTAGGATAATAGATTTCGATGTATTACCGTGTACATAAATCTACAGAAAGCAGCAATATTAAACAAATGCTAAGAAAGTTCACGGATATCGAAGAAAACGAAACAGCACACACACAACAAACAACACACCTTTATTCCAATTGCTAGTGGTTGTCGGAAACAAGTCGAACGGGACCTCTCTATTTTTAAATATTTATTTCACTGTTCACAGTTTGTTAGTAATCTAAGGTTCAAAGGAAAATAAACCATCCAAAAAAACAATCCACTTAAAATGTCAAAATCGCCTCGGAAATTAATTTCTAATTTTGCATACTTTACTTGTGTCAACATATGTTGACATAACAAATGTTGTTCAAAAATAGGTGAGACTTATTGATACCTTTTTTGAGTAGAGTATTTATTATAAAAGTGGCTAAAAGACCTCACAACGTCTCAAAATATGTTATTTATGTTTGTTTTCATCGAAAGAAACAAAGTTTGTTCAAAGTACTTTATAGTGAGCTATGATTATTTAAATAATTAGATTCTAGGTTTATAAAACCGTCAAACAGATAACGATTACGAAAAAGTACTTTAGAACGTTTAGTTTATGACATTGGTATAGGTGTGTTGTTGCCAAATTGACCAGAGAGAGTTATTCAGGTCAGAAATTGATACATTGCAGTTCAGTCGAAAAGATTCATGGTACAAATACAAAACCTGTCAGGTTATCTGTAAAGTTGAGCTGCTCTGAACTTGGCAGTTATTCGAAAAGTTCAGGGTAGGTGTAGGTCCGCTGTACCTATTTTAGATGTCAGGGTTCAAAAATTATGTACCTAAAAAAATATTGGAATTTTAATGAAATGTGCTATTGCAATTCTTTTTGCGTAATAAATGATTTAATTATTTATTATTACAGTTTTTAATTAGGTAATTATATCAGGTATCCGTAAAAGAACATAAAAAAGCAATAGCTGAACATCAAGAAATTAAGCACGTATTGTTGCTTAACTTTTTTAAATTTCAAATTAAAAGAGCTTCATCAATTAGTTAAAATTACTATAAAAATAAAAATATCCTGATACGTTTTACATATTCATATATGTTATATATATGCTATTTCTGGACCGATACTATCTTCATATCTTTAAGAGAAGAGCGTATTTGCACCTCAAAGGCCTGCAAAGCAACCTTTGAGGACTACTCCAGAATTAAGGATCGTTGGGCCTCCAGCAACCTAACCCATTCTTCGAAAGAATTTCTGTGAGACCGTCGCACATTATCCTCCATATCCATACTAATATTATAAATGCGAAAGTGTCAGACACACTCTGTCTGTTACCTCTTCACGCTTAACAGCTGCACCGATTTAGATGATATATGGTACAGAGATCGTCCGAGTCTCGGGAAAGAACATAGGGTAGTTATCATCCCAGAAATCATTCGTTAAGGGGGTGAAAAAGGAGGTGGAATTTTGTATGGGGATTCAATAACCGCTGAATCAATTTAGATGAAATTTGGTATGAAGATACTTTTAATCTTGAGGAGAGACATAGGTTTTTTACTACGATACGACATTAACGCGGGCGGAGCCGCAGGCAAAAGCTAATCATAAAATTAAACATACTATATAAATTGTATTTTTCAATGATTTTTTTCATTTATTTAATATAATTTGTCTATACGAACAGAATACAAGAGATTCCACATTGTCACGTTGCGCTATCGAACAATTGCAGTGCTGCGGCTCATAAATCACCAGGACGTAATACACCGCCAGTGAGACCGAACCCAATTTATTGCACCACGTCTCAATATTCATAGTGAAATGTTTTGTGTACGCTTTGAACGGAACCCCATTTGGTTATATACGTAAATTAACCTTGTGATATATGCTATGGAGATGATTTTGAAAATCTTCTTAATTTATTTAAAAAAAACGATGTTATTGTCCTGTTTCGACGGTTACGTAGAAGTATCTTTGAGTTTCTAGCCCAAAGAGCGTATATTATTAAGTGGTAATGCGACCTACCCGATTCTAGATTCTGGTCTGATCCTAGACCGTGTTAAAAATTTTCGCTTTATCAGAAACTTTATTTGTGGTAATGACCAAAACTATATTTTAATACTAAAGTTTATTACGAAACTAAATATTATAACGTGAGTCGGACTAAATTATAGTTTAGTTAATGTATGTATGGGATTAAATAACCTCTGCCTAATCTGTTGAGGAAATAGGCATGAGTATGAATATCTTATTAATATATATATATATATATATATATATATATATTTATAATAATACCCATATATTATATTAATAAACTATGTGTTATCGTTATTATATGTTATAGTTATAACAAATTTTGATAAGATTTTTAATTAGACGTTCTAAGTGGTTGTAAATAAAAACATTTATTAATAAATGTTAAAAAATTTTTTTATGGCAAATGTTATTGTGAAACTTAGAAGCATTGAAGTCTGTTGCTAACAAGTAACTTTTTAAGTTGTAATTCTACATTAAATCTTATATAAGCTTTACTGAACTTTTTCTTTCTCCTGCGTTCAAAAGTATTCCTTTGGCAGTTTTCATTATAAAAATATATATATACCTAAAGTCACTTAACTCTTAAATTGAAAATATAATGCCTTTCTAAGCTATACAAAAGACTAATGGATAAAATAACAAAGACGTC